CCCGGGGCCGTTCTCTGCGCCTCGCGCTGTGGTTTGATGTTGAAGGTGGGGGCTGCAGCTCTGCACCTCTTCCCTGGAGGGGTTCAGGGCCAGGCTGGATGAGGCTTTGGGCAACCTGGGCTGGTGGGAGGTGTCCCTGCCCATGGCAGGGGGTGGCACTGGGTGGGCTTTAAGGTCCCTTCCCACCCAAACCAGTCTGGGATTCCAAGATTCTGGGATTCCGAGATTCTGGGATTCTAAAATGAGCTTTGTCCCTGTCCCTGGCATCCCACAGTCCGGTGGGACGTCCTGTCCGTACTGGTATCTCTGACAGAACTCCCACCCGTGCCCCTGGTTCTGAGATACCACCTGGATGATCCCAAACCACCTCCAGCTCCATCAAAGCTCAGACAAGGGGGTTTTTTTGGGGGGACGTCCCCTGGCCCCTCGTGCTGCGGAGGGGCAGCTGGCACGTGCTGTCTGTGCCGCCGAGCCCCCAGGCATCTTCCTGAGACACAAAATCCCCCCCCTCTTGATGTACATACATAATTTCCAAGCATCAATTTCCTCTCCTCAACTCTACGAGGGATTTCGGCACAAAAAAAAAAAAAAAAAAGAAGAAGCCAACACAGTATTAAGAAAAAACACCGTCAGAAGCACTGACTCTCTTGACCTCTGCACCTCAGCTGCCTCCCGGGAGGCGGAGGGCTGGGGCTGAGCCGGGAGAGGAGGGTTTGCAGCTGCCCTCGTGCCCCGAGGGGGGGACATATGGGGGTGACAGTCAATGAGAAGAGGAGAAAAGGAGAGGAAATGGATGTTTTTCTTAGCGCCCAACCCCTCAGCTCCTGGGAACTTTATGGCTCTGGAATATTAAGAGGCAGGAAAGTTAATTAATATCCAGAACAAAGCCCGGGCTGTTTGGGCTTCTAGGAGAAGGAAGCAGTGGAGACAGGATGAAAAAATTAGTGTCGGCTTAAATAATTTTTTTTTTAATGTTTTATCAGCAGCTAAAATAGAGATGAAGCGGACTGGAACGCTGAGCTTTGTGTGCTCCGTGCCTCGAGTCTCTGCGAAGTGCAGCGGAGCCCATCCTTTGGTCCATGGACCACTAAAGTGGATGCGGAGGTAACGGAGCCTTTGTGTGATGCTGTCAAAAAAAAATACATCGAAACCTGCGTCCTGGTCCAATGGTCTGTCCAGTACCTCATGGTCACTCTCTGGTAGTCCTGCTGGAACTGGGGGGACTCGGTCTGGAGAAGAGGAGGATGAGGGGGGACCCCATCACTCTCCACAGTGACCTGAAAGGAGGGTGCAGGGAGGGGTGC